TGTGTTCATGCTCTACCTTATTTGATCCTCCTGAAATCTAAAGCAGGACTGCTGAGCATAGTCAATATTTCCTTTATTTTGATAATCATATGTCTGTGGTCTGTCGGAAGTGAAATAGCGCATTTAAATGTGTTGTAACCTTCTTCTCATCTTCATTTTATCACAGTGCAGTTATATTTTGTGCTCATGAATCATCTCTGTTCTGATCTCACCACAAGTGTCTGCTAAAAAGCCATCCACAGCACAGTTCTGATACAAGCCACATTTTCTCTGTTTACTTCTTTGATGCTGTTGCTCCTGTCCTTGGGTCTCAGTGCACACTATTAGTTTAACTGGTTTTTTCTTTCTTCTTCTTTTGTTTTCACATACAGATATTTCTACTCATACTTCAGTACTGCCATTGTTAATACTACACATTGGCAGCATGATTATAACAACTTTTATTTGCTTTGCTTTACAGGAAAAGTAAAGTTTTAACTGAACTTCACAATAGTACTCTCTATGCAGTTAGAAAAGTAAACCTTGGATTTATTTACAATTTCTGTACTGTACAGAAAGTTATATAAATACATATATATAATATGTAGTATTTCTGGTACTACATATATAAAATAAAAGAACAAAAACAATATTAAAGTAATGCATTGCACACAAGTGATGCATTAATTGAAATGTGAAGGTGCAGTACTTTACTGAAAATGTGTTTCAGCATTTTTAAACCCTTGTACTTTAAATAGGTTATCAATCGCTTCTTACATACTTAAAAACATATCCCCTAGAATTCCCTAGAGATACATGTTTACTATTTTGAATTCATAGTTTTAAGTAACTCCATTTGGGCTTATGTTTTTGATGCCATGTATATAGTATTAAGATACTGGACAATAAAGGAAATTCTAAATTGCTTTAAGGCTACTTGGAATACTGACCATTTAAATTCTCAAATTTATAAACACTTACAGGTGCAGATAAAGGTAATATCAATAATATTTCAATGGCATGTAAAGCAATTAGGAATACTGAGTTCTAAAGCTCCCCTGGGTTAGGTGACTTTTAGGACATATGGCCACAAGCAAGATGCATCTGCATGGTGAATGCATGTATAAATATAAGAAGAATTAAGCAACCTCTTTAAACAAACATAATTAAAAAGGCTGTTTAACAAAGGAAATTACCCCACTTTATTAAAATTTGTTTGTGAATAAGGATACATATAGCTTCCTATTGTTCATAATAATTGGTATTGTATTAAGACATATGTTAATATTTGTATAATTATTTATAATATTATTAGGATACTAGATAGAGATACAATATATTAACAATGTATGTGTATATACCAATTTAGTGGGATATTTCCCATCTTCATTTCAAAACATATTTTAGTTGTGTTCAGCGTCAGAATTGTTGCCAGCAGTGCCTAGGGCAGGTAGGTAGGTGTCACTATGGACACTAGATCAGGAAAACATTGAAATATGTGGTCGTAGTTGATGATAAATGCCAGTCAAATCAGAGATTGCCATAACTTAATACTTTGTAAACCTGTTTAACATTTTTCATTGTTGTTTCTTGCATTTTTGGTCTCTTCTCATAGATCACAGGGGTTTTTTCTCTTCCAAAGCAACAGCTTGCTTTTTTGTGTGCAGAGGAGTGAACTGTTTTATTACCATGATATGCCACTTATTGTATAACAAGAAGTTTATGATGTAAAGCACAGCCAATACTAGGAATTGGTGATGTGTGGTATTTTCATTCTCAGAATTCCAGCATGTAATGAGAAATAGTTCCCATCCAGAGCAAAATACACAAAGGACTATGTTCAGAAACCCAATTATAACAGGCTGGTCTCATGGAGCTTCTGCTCATGAACTGTATTTTGTCCTCTACTTAGTAAAATAATTCTCTTGTACTAGGAAGGGATTCCAGTACTGTTATATATCTTCCTGTAAACCCAAACCAGGCAAGCCATTTCTGCTAGATGATAATATATATAAAAAATGGTCTATTTTTTTGATAATTCTTAGTGCTGTTAGAGCATACCCCATTTTCTAGAGATGTTGTGGGCCATTAACCGGAATCACAGGTAGCTGTGCAAAATCCAATGGAAGTTCCACATAAAAGAGTAAACATTGCTTACTATTACGTAGTCTCCTGGTCTGTTTATTTCATTTGTATCAACAGTTATTACGCTGGAAATAATGCAGTGACACTCTGTGCTGCAAATGCTGAATTAGGGCTTTCATATTAAAATTTATTTTTAAAAGTACATAAAGATGTTAGCAAACCACTGCTGTGCACAGTAGAGTTTGTAGAGAAATACTCTTAATTCAGCCTTGGAGATATTCATGCGGGTGCTTTGCTGTGAAGATGAATAGTTGGAACATTGACCACAATAGAGGTCAGAATTTACTGAGGAGTAACTCTGTTACTTAAAGGACAGACACTTAAGCCTATGTTAGTATCACAATGATGAGGATAATCAGATTTAGCATAAACATTACATATATTGTACAGAGCGAGATGGGTGTTACTTGGCTCTTTTGTCTAACTAACAGAAGCTACTAACACTGCTTTTAAATTAATATTAAACAGAATATTTAGAAGAAGTTTTTGCCATTTCTACGCAAGGAGAGATATTTAGAATATTTAGAAGACATTTTTGCCTTTTTTATTCAAGGACAAGTACAGCAAAACAGAAGATGAAAACCCTGAGACAGATTAAAGTAATGTAATTAAAATTTAGTGATAGGCATCTAGTACACTGTATACGGCTCGACATATGGTGCTGTTTTTGCTGGAAACTCTAGAATTTCATACAATGCATGCCACACTCTGAAAATCAGCAAGTCTAAATCACTTCCTGATGGTAGTGAATTGCATTGGCAAGCCTGTGCTTTTTGAGTTTGACATATTCTGATGTTAGGAACTGAGCAGCTTTTAATATCATTCAGAAACGGAGTGTTGAAAATTGGGATATTAGTGTGATTGCTTGAGTATATTGAGAAAGAATTTATAACATGTATTATTTTAAAAAATTTTAGTGGATATGGTTGGGTTTTCTTTTGTTTTAAGTTTGGTTGAAGTTTCCTTATTGTCTTTAATACCTTGCTACTTGAGAACAGATAAGTTTCACTGTTGATTGTAGAGAGCATTAACTTATTTATATGAAGAATTTATATGTATTGTGAGAATTATAGTTTACACTGGTGTTGTTATAGCACGTTTTTTTTAAATAGAGAACTTTTGCAAGATTTTTAGGGGTATTTGTTTCTGCGTGTTTTTTTGCTTGTTTGTGTTTTGTCCTTTTTTGTTCATTTGGTCTTTTATCTATTTTATTTTCCCAGAATATCAAACTGAGCTTATCTGTCTTTTCAGTTCTTCCTACATGAAGTTGCTAGCAATTATTAATCTTCAATATTGAAGCACTGATTGATTGACAGTAGAGTTTTTTTTAAGATCCTAAATGCCTTTTAAGATCTTAAATATATTTTTATAAGATGCCTTCATTTACTGCTCTTATTAAAGTAATGCCACAGTCTGTGAAGAAGGGAAGATTACACATTCATAAAGGCTTGTAGTCATACTTTCTCATTCAAAGATGATTCCTGCGTAGAGAGCAGTGAGGTCTCAGCACATAAATAACAAAATTTTCGTCAGTTTGTTGTGTGTGTTGGAGGGGTGAATTGCTTGCAAGTTTTTTTTAGCTGTCTGCTGTAACTAGAATCATTCTGTTTACATGTACAAGAAATGACACATTATTTTTTGGAGTGCTTATCAGTAACCTCTCAGATTAAGGAAAAGATATCGTTGCCCAGTCGGTTTGCAGAAGTCATCTGTCCTTTTTTCACTGGAGTTTGAAAGTCAGTATAGGGTGTTTCTGATTAGCTTTAGAGTCAAGGCTATCCAGTCACCTCTTGCTCTCCTATCTATGAGTTACCCAGTCTGGGAGTAAAGAGCAGCTCCAGCATAATGTCTGAAGGCTTCATAACCTCTATATTTTTTTCTTTAATATAGTCTTACTTTATTTCTTACACCATGAAATATAAATATAGATAACCTCTTAAAAGAAATCACATATGAAACTTTTCATATAATACCATAATTTCATATTTCTAAGAAAAGGCAGTAAATAAAATTGTGTAACAGCTTAGAACAAATCGTAATAGTTCAGTCCTAAATGAACAGAAACAAATACTGGGGCAATGACTGGCTACTCACTATCAAATAACTGTGTTATACGAAAAGGTCTGCTGTGATTTTTTGGTCTTTGCCTGGAACAATAAAATGTATTTTGGAAAAGTCTTTTAATACATTTGTATCAGTTGGAACATGGCTTTGCAGTGTTTGTGTAATATTCTTCCAGCTTACCTTTGTCCTAAATCGGTTTTACAGAATACTTTTTGCTAACACAGTTTTCTTTTTGGGAACTCTCCACCCTGAGCCCTTCCACTTCTCAGATGAGAGGACAGTGCCTTTGCTCCTCTGAGGGCAGAGTAATAACTGTTCACCTTCCACTGCCTGGGTGAAATGTCCAGTTAACACTGCCCCAGAAGAAAAACACTTTGTTACTCCTCCAACACATCTGTGTAGAATTAGAGAAGCATCACTGCAAATGATCAGTTAAAATGTAATTACTTTCATGTAGTTAACAGGACCTAACCTCTTTATTCACAATTAGTAATTCTGTGTTTAGAGAAGAATGTGCATCACAGATTATCAGTTGTTGTTGTCAGCGGTTTGTGAGTCTGTATTTAATGTTCACTAGTGAAGACTAGATGTATCAAAAGCCTGCTGTGCAATTCTCACTTTCAAGCACCTACTGTTTAAGGAGAAATGTATTTTTGAAAGATGAGTTCTTTCCTTGTTCTTGGACTAGCCTCAAACTTGGGATGAGGAGAACAGCTAATAACCTGCATTTTGTTTGGTCTTGCATGCCTAATGAGAAATGAATGTGTATGTCCTATCAGTCTGTCTCACTGTCCATCTGTCTGATTTTCTAGGAGGTGATTTCCTGTCATTCCTAAGAAAAAAGAAGGATGAGCTGAAAACCAAACAGTTGGTGAAATTTTCATTAGATGCTGCCTCTGGTATGGCATATCTTGAATCTAAAAATTGTATACACAGGTAAGGAAGATTTTTTTTCTCACTATTGTACCTTTGCTCAGTAGAATTGCAAGGTGTTTAAAGGTGTATGGTGTTTACTATCACACAAGTGAACCTTACGATTTAAAAATACATACTTTTTCTGATTAACTGGTCATTATTACTTATCTAACTCAAAAATATTCAGTTGGGTAACAAATAAGTGCTACATTATTTGATGTCTATAGTTTGGTGCTATTAGTGTAAGTTAAAAATTATTTTTCACCATAATGATATGCATTATAAGGAGCCTGATTCATACAGTGAGAATGAATCATAGTAAGAAACAATCTGTGAGGCTTATGTCGTGTCTGAAATTTACAGATTCTTGCTGGGACAACAGAAAACTTACAGTATTAAATTAATACCTTAAGTATTAAGAACTAAAATTCTGTATTTTAAAATATTAATTTCCTGAACTGCTCTCTCAGAAGTATGGAAGATTATGGAGCATTATGCTGTTTGAGTTTCTTATTTCTGTTCATACCATTCCTTTTTCTTGTTTCTTCTCCAGCTTGACTCTGCCATCGCTGTTTATACTCCATTTGTATCAAAGAGGATGGAATTAGTTTCCACCTGTTTTGTTCTTTCACAATAGCACAATGTACTTAATGCTGTGGCTGAAATATGAGATGTAAACATAATGATGATCTATTTCACAGAAAAATTATGGAGAACAAGTTTTCATTTCTGATCTTTATGTCTTACACTTTGTGAAACGTGTGACATATCATTTACATCATCAGTTCATTTGGGATTTAACACCTTTCTGGTGAATGCTCTTACCAGAGACCTGAGTGGCATTTCTCTTAGATTTTCATCAGCAGTGAATGGGTCAGTTGCAATCCTGCACATTGAGTTAATCAAAACAATTCTGCAAGATCATGATCTATAAAAAACACTGAGAGAAAAAAACCCGAACTCATGATCTAAAACTATGTAATACTCCCTTAGGGAAACCCAAGAAAGGGGTTATAAGCATTCTCTCATGACAGAATGTGTTTCAGCCTGGCTCTGTTTGTCAAGGATATAATGGCATAAAAATCAGAGCAAATAACAGCATTAGTGATTTACGCTAGCCTCATAAATGCTCCTGTGCTTAATAACAGTCAGATCAATGTTAAATCTGAAGTGCCTGTTTAAGCTCTTCTGTTCTTAGTTAATTAAAGCAAAGATAAAAATAGCAGCTGGATAACTGAAGTTCGTTATTGCAATTATTGAAAAAAAATTGCAATATTTATTCATTAAATGGTAGTGTGCTGCCTAAATTATAAGTAGCTTTATATTTATTTTTTTTAACACTGGGAAAAGGGTATTCCTGCACAGATGTATGAAAAAGAATGTTCTAGTAGCTGTAGATGACATTGTGGCTTCTTTGTAGCTCTAGATATTTGCTCTGCTGGTTGGTGAATAGGAACTACTATTCCTAAAATTTGTTTACAAAGCTAATAGTGATCTAGAGAATGTGTTTCTGAGAGAAGATATGTGGAGTATTGTCTTACTATATGAAGATTTCAGTTTTTCATAATTTTTAGTTGAAAATCCGAATACAAATGTGTCATGGAGTTCCCAAGTCAGGAGGAAAAAGAGATGAAATCTGACATGTTTTGTTAGTGCCATAGATGTGCCAATGCACACAGTCTGGGTTACACCTACTGTAACACAAAGAGAAAAGAACTTCGATCCCCTTGTTTACTTTTTAACTTCTAAAATTTTAATGAAATTTGTTGATTACCACAGATTGTCAGAGAAGGTTATCACAGAGAGCTAGCACTTTCCTAAAGGAAAAGCCAAAATTTTTAAGAAACGTATTCTAAATAAAAATAGTTTTAATGCAATGAAACAAGCAAGCCATGCGTTCAGGAGAACTTCCTGCTTTTATGAAACACACAGGTTTATAAACCAAAATGTGCATTTCCAGTATTAGTTTGCTGAAGCGGCGCGGCTGAAGACGCAAGCATGGCAAGCACGCCAGGACTGCTTGCAGCCAAAGGGGCACTGTCCCCGCCTCGATGCCAGGGACAGCGCCTATGGCCAGCACCCTGCGTTATAGCAGCAGGGCAGCCTTGAACAAGGACGTGGCCGCCCTAAAGCTACTGCCCGCAGGGATACGAGAGCGCTCCTCAGTTACAGCAAGTCTGGGTTTATTCTAAATCCAGGGAGGCCAGCAACCTAAAAGGAGGAGGGAGGCATTACATGAACCTATAAAGGGAAGGGAATCCAGGGGAGGAGTCGTTCTTTGGACCAGTAGGGTGACAGGGGAGAGTGGGGTACAAGAGATTGACATAAAAGAAACACCAATTATAACAAACTGAGGAAGGGGCCCCGGCCCCTGAACCAATCACTCAATGCCCTAGCTAGAATGTTCTAGAGAAAGAGGTGGGGCTGAAGAGTGACTGGCAAGGCACTGGGGTGGGGCTTGGAGGAAGATACATTGGTTTCTAAGTAAACCGGGGAGGGATCAGGAAAGGATACATTTGTTGTCAGGGCAACTGGGGAGGAGCTGGGAAGACTGACAGAAACAGGGAGGGGAGGAGAACCAGGGCAGAAACATTATATAAAACAGAGAGAAGCGGAACCAGCCACCGCACTAGAACAGTTTACCAGTCTTATTTTCTTCCATATACAACATTCTTTATTGTTTTATGTGGTTAGCTATAGCACCTGCTTACTTTATTTATGAGTTAATTTTTCTAAATTTAATAGGTAAACATAAGGAAAATTTCTGAATCAGCAAACAACCAACATAGTTTAGTGATTCTTGCAGTAATAATAACGAACTTGTGTTGGTTGGTTTTATTTTTAGTTGCTAACACAGGTTGATTACAAATGCTTACTCTGGGAAAGAATCTCATGAAGTTCTAAAATGTATTTGATCAATGGCTGAACTGTAATTTGGTAGGCCTGGCATACATAGAATTTTGCTAGGTCTGTCCCCTCTTTGAGCGCTGATCCAAGATTTGTAGACACTCTGGGGAGTGGCTGGAGCTGCATCAGTCCAGAACCCCTGTCTGCTGCAGGAGCCCAGGAAAACAGGGAAAAATCAAGCTGTGTTATGCTCCATGAGCAAGTGCTTGGGTGTTCTAACTCAGAAGCCCACTGGAATTTCCCAAGCACTGGAAGTGCAGCCATCTGGCTGCATGGTCTGTACAAGAAATTTGGGAGTCTTTGCTGCCTCCAGTTTAAGTCAGATAGGACAGATTGGTCATGTGTAAGTTTAATGTTGACAGGAGGTAAGTGGGAATGGAACAATTTAATTCATAACAGTAAGAAGCTTTAGCACTCTGTAAAAAAGATAGTGGTTTTCTGAAAGAACATTAAACTTGTTCTTTTTTTGTCAGAAAGTTCATCCACTGAAAGCGGTTCTCAGGTAAAAAAAGAGGTGAGAAAATTAACTAGAGGCAACGGACCAAGCAGTGGTTAAAAAAACCTTAATATTTTTGTTTGTTTAAAGGTCCTTAGGCCTTGATTACTACTGCTTAAAGATCAGTAATGTACAGTTAGAAATAGTTTCTATGACATAGATTGCAGTAAAGTGAAATTGGTTTGCTTCATGCTGTTACCTTTATGTAGTGTCCAATTTAAGTTCTTTGATTTAAGGATTTTTTTCAGAATCACACATAAATATTTGTAGTATTTTAGGTGATTAATTTAGTACCATGCATAATTGGCTGTCTGCTAACAGAAATTAGGGCTACTCGTCACTTTATTCGCATTATTTTTGACGCTGCTCTTTAGTTGTAACTGCAGTAGCTACACTTAGCCTTTATATTTTAAAATTCTACCCCAGTTTGTGTTGAATTTTGGAAATTATTGTCTGAATTACACTTTAACTTACCCTTTAAGTAGTTGGGACTGCGCCACAACTAATGTGCTGTTTGTTTTCCATTTTTTAATGTGTTAACTATATCAGTAGGTGAAAATGCTTACATTGGCATGTAAGTGATTATTGAATTACTATTTGATCTACATTTGCATTTTCTCTAGCATACAGATATCACTTGTTCTTTGCTCTCTCTTTAAAGAACAGAAATTACTTCACTTTCAGGGGGAAAAAAAGCTGCATGAAAAGATGTTATTAAAAAAATGAAAAGAGTAGTTGAACATGCACAGAAGAATGTAATCATTTCATCTCCATTTAATTAACATGAGGTTGAAGAATTGTGTCTTGCTTTCATTTTTACCATATGCTATTGTTTAGATAGTTCAATTTTTCTGTTAATTAGAAACAGAAGATAAGGATGGAGATGTGATAATTTGAGTTGGCTTAATAAGCATTTGGGAGTGGCCTTCTTTTCCAGTACTTGATTTGCATGTGGTGAATTCATCTGTCCATAATTTATGTTCAGTTTTCAAAGCTGTCTTGGGGGCTATAGGAGGGAAGCTGCAATTTCTGTTGGACTTTACTGGATGTGTGGGGAGGTCTTCTACAAGATCAGGTTGACTTTTTTGCAACAGATGCACTATGAATGTGAGGAAACAGGGACCAAGGTCCCTGCGTTCAATGTCAAATTTTCCTTTCAGTCAATGAAATTATCTTCTGGAGGTCTCCTGTATTCTGAATTAAAGATGTGCTGGTTGGCAAGAAGATCATGTTTTCTGGTCTAGTTTTTCCATTTTTAGTCATATTGCTATTTCTTCTGTTTGCTTTAGTTATGTAGCTGTGAAAACACCTGTGTTATGTTAAATCTGGCTTACTTTCATGTTATGAAATCTGACTCTGTGGATACTCTGTGGATAGTAATTCAGGATTTCTAGAGTTTTCATTAGATTGTATAATTTAATTTAATTACATATAAATTGCTAGGAACGTACTTGCTTCCCTGATACTAATCTCGTTTAGCCAATCTGCTCTGCTATGAGAACTTTTTTTCCTCTCAAGTCTGGTAACTGCCAATGTATAGAATTTTGGAAAAAGAGTGTCAGAACACTTTCATAACCATGAACTTAAGAGCTATAATAAATAGTTAAGTAGGTCTTTT